TTTACGTGGAACGAGTTGAGATTATAGGTGACCTAAATTCAAGAGATGGGTACAGGGGGCCTTACCGCCTAGGAGGAGAAGCGGTAACGGTAGCCGTCCGGCGGAGCCGGCGGAATGATCCGGACGGGACCGAAACCATGTGTACCGCCAGCGCTAACGCTGGTGGTACAATGATCCAACCAGGCTGATTTTTGAAACAAACCTACTTTATAAACACATACAGCCAGTAAGAAATTTTGTAGTTAAATGGGAGCTATTTATTTATTTATTTATTTATTTATTTATTTTTGTGACCTGTTTTACTGCTGCAGTGTTTTTTCATGACAAATGCACATTTTCAATCATATTCTGCATGTAAATATAAATATTATACATGTAAATATGAAAATAATACAAGTAAAGTCAAAATCAATTATCTGATGGTTTTAGAATCCACAATAAAGGCAATCAAATAAAGCATGGCATGGATGTTTTTGGCCAAACAGTTGACTATCTGAATCCAGGCCAAATCCCAGTAACAGTAACCATATTTGATCAGACACTATTTGTCAGAGTACAGTGAGTGCAATTATAGTAATTAATGAACGATGAAGGGAGGCATTCTAATACTGGGGGAGGTGGGGAGAAGATTGGACAAAAATTTCAATCCAAAAGACCCTTGGTGTCATCTCTTAGAAGACTGAGACTGAAGATATCTCTTCTTTCTATGAAGTCCTCACACTGGTTCAAAACAAGTACATGATGCTCATAATCTTGCACTTAACCCTGTGCAATCTCTCAGCTCAATAGAGGTTCAAATGATGAAACTCCCATCCACACTTGCAGAAAAGACTTAATTGCTACATTAGAATCTGGTCAACATTCATGTTCTAAGATCAGATCATGACATATTATGATGACATTCCACTGTGTAGCAGAGCCCTTAAGGAGAGAAAATATACCTTTCATGTTGAAGCATTGGATCAAGCAGCACCTTTTCTTTGCCTTGGCCCATGTTTACTAGGCCAGGCAGGTGTCTGTCCTTAAGTCTCTGCTGTGCAGGACTGGAAAATGCTTCAAACTGCATGATTTCTGAAACAGCCAATTGTTTTCAGCCATCCCATTCAATCAGGCTCATGAGCAGGAGAACAATATGGTAAAAGATAAGTACAAGTCAAACTTAAGATTTGACTAAGAACCCAGCATTTTCATATGGACATGCTAGAAACAATACCAGCAGTTTCTTTAGATATTCTTTTCTATGGATGCACAGTGTCCATTCATACTTCTACCAAGAAGAATTCCTCAGCACCCTTCAGAAAAGCCCATAGAAAGATAAATCCTAAGAAAGATTACACAATTAAATTTGTACAGAATAACATGACTATATGGTCAATTATATATCTCAATGCAAAACTTTGTAACTTTTAGGAAATTCCTGTCCTTTAGGTGGACCTGTCATTCCCTCCTTCACTTTCAGATATATGAAAGCCCTGAGCCATGTGAACAACTGGATCAACCACCAACATGTGACTGTGAGGTGCTACATGGTGCAACCATTGTCCACAGTCTTCCTGCCAGTGTCAACACATTGGATGATTATGCTGGCAACATTTTCCTACCATATTTGGATAGGCAACTGAACATAATATGTAGTATAGAACATATGTCTTCCTGACTCCCTGAAAGAGTCCACAAGTGAGAAGAAAGCAAGATATGCCAAAAAGAAAGTGAAATGGCCCCCCTCCCAGACCTTTAAGATAAAACAGAAACTGAATATTCTCTTTTGAAAGATCAAAGATGTAAGGTTGCAAATGGCCTAAATCCAAGTAGCCCTGAAGTAGGTCTTTTTGACTTCAGTGCTGTCAAATCAGGTTACTGTTTTGTTGTGCCTGATTGCAATGTACAGTGAAGAGGCCAACAAGCCATGCCATGCTGAGCTGGGTGTTCAGAGATAATTCTTGTATGCCCATTTATCACCAAAGAGTTGCCATACAGGTGGGCAAGTTTGGCATGGCAGCCATATTTAAATTCTTTTTAATATCAGAAACTTAATTATACAACAAAACACTCAATCATCAGGGATCCTGGGCCACCTTGGGATCTAGAAAAATCCTGGAATTCCATGATTTTTTCTTTCTTTTTTTTTTTTTTTTTTTTTTTTGTCAAATGGGAAAATTCTCCAAATATCGAGCTATTATAACTTCATTTTGATTTAGTATGCCAAAAGATATTTGGTACAATATTCGGTGATTTTATCTGTTAAGGCTTGAGTTTTTTCATTATTCACTTCATGGAATTTAAGACAATTTGCAATGTGCAACTGATAGGAACTATGCAAGTGTACCATGAAAATGTAATTTCCCAAAAAGGTGACTCCTTAGTTAGATTTTTATAATTAAAATCTGACTCCCCAGTCAAAATTTGCCCATGTTACCCACACCTTTTAACAAAGATGAATGAAAACAATCTTTTTCAATTTATATTAATTGATTTTTAGGTCTACTTTTATGGCCATCATGCCCTTCCTACTCAGGCAGAGGCAAGGCAGATATGTGGATCATGTGAAGCATCATTTGATTGGGAGCAAGCAATCAAGGATGGGACATTCTCCCTATATATTCCCACAAAGGAACAGTTGTTTCACATTTTAGAAATGACAAACCGATTCACCATCTACAAAACTGCAATGTACAGACATTGCTGGCTGCCAATGCCATTTCAGATATAATAACTTCATGTCTCTAAAAGTTTAATCAGAAAAATTTGGCCAGGGCAGTGTTTTGTAAATGGACTTCCTCCACATCTTTGCTCTGAAAGTGTTCTTTTAATTGGTCTGGTTTGGACATAGCAAGCCCAACAATATATATAGATTTTTAAAACCTTTCATCGATGAAAGCTCACAACTAGAAGAAAATGCATCCAGTTTTCAAGGGGTTCAACATATTTCCATTCATCTGTTGCACAGACAGCTCTGCACGGGCTTTGATAAGGAACTACAAACAATACAATGGACAACTCGGCTGTGACCGGTGTGTACAAAATTTGTTTGGTGCCTGAAACATTGTGTTGGAAGAAAAAATATTTTCTATCTGTCATTTTACTAATGTCATTTTCAACAATTATTCTTTGTTTTTTTATGAATATTTTTGTTCAGGACTGGTTGTATTCAACAAAGTATGTGTAAAACCATCTTTTGTACTTACATATATATTTTTTAATTTACATATTTACAGTTAGGTGTATCAAGCAGACCCAGCAAGAAATGTCGTGATAGATCCAGATGGTTGAGTCTGGGAGAAGCCAGCTGTGGACCTCCCAGCTCAGTCCAGTATCAGTAGAGAATAGACGAAATCTTTGGCAGGACTACCCACACTTTCCTACAAAGATTCAATACATGGACTAGCTGGAGGAACTGCTGAAAAACACAGGATGGCTGGTTATGTTTAAGGCAGGCAAGGTTACAATGAAACATTCACACACTTAAAAAAATCAATAGTTCTATTCTCATTTAGTGAATTCAAACATCGATGCTTGGCATACCAATACTTCCAGTGCTTCTAACAATCTGCAACCCTTTTTTAAGGAAAGGAGAGAGGAAAGCTTTTGATATATACATGAATTATGGCAATAGTGACTTTATAGAGGCTTTAAATTCTCCTGTCTTTGAGCAGTCTTCGCAGTTGCAGAAAGAAAATCAAAAGTGATGGAACAATGTGTCTGCAATCTTTATAGCCAGAAGGAAGCTAGTAATGTCAATGAGGCCAGGTTCAACATATTTTGCTTGTCAACCCCAAGTGACCAGAGAATGCCTCTTACCCAAGATGCTCTGAATTTGTATACTGAGAGATCAAATTATCAAACAAAAATCCACAGATCTGCTACCAAGCAGTGGATTGAAGCACCACATCCCAATGGAAGTGGGTGAGAAATAAAAAACAATGAACTTGAAGTAAAGTTCATTGGATAGCAAAACACTTTAAGGGGCTAGGTCCTGTGTCATCCACATAAGTTGAAAGTGTAAAGCTTCTAAAATGTGATTCAAAAAGGTGTTCAGGTCATGGATATTAATTGTCATGTTTACTGATTATCTGCATTCACAGTGAAAATTGTCTTGCCCTATGAATCTTTTAGCAAAAGTGCTTTTCTAGAAGTCTTTTCCCTTATCAGGCGAGGGACTATTGTTAGATATTTAAAAATTAAAATAATTTCCTACCGACTTGTCATCCATTTTTACACTGTATTTTTGAAGAAATTAAGACAGATTTTATTGATAAATGTTTGTTTTGATGCAAAAGTGAATTAAGCAAATGAAAACTAGAGAGGCGATACCGTTGTTGTTGTTTACAGGTGACTTAGGGAAATGTAATAAGGTTACAAGTTTGAAGAAAATGGGGGAAGTTATGGAATTTTTGTATTACGTATACCAAAAAGGTTAGAGATACTTTATTAATTTTATTTATTACATTATTATATATATTTGAAGACAGAAATTTGGATATCTGTTATACGAATTTAGTGGAGTAAAAATGTAGCTTATATCATTTATATCATTTAATTTTAGTACTTATGTGATAAAAGATATAATGATATATTCTGAGTTTTTATATTTATCTTATCTTTATTGGTTTTAGGTGATTGTGACAGAAGAAGTTTGGAAGAATGGATATATCAAAAGTCTTACTATATTGAGGTGGATTCAAGATGTTTCCATATTGTGGATATGAATAATATTATGTTCTTAAATATGAAATGTTTGTATTCACCGTTCCGAGATGAGTGATTGACAGCATTGTTTTAACCAATAGAACCATATAATTAATGTCACGTGATACGCATGTGTAAACAGCCGCCATCTTACCGGACAAACAATCATCTGTCCGGTGTATCAGATTACGCTGAAGATTTTTGCATTTTTTGTCACTTAAAAAAACACTGTTGTTATGGGTGTTGCAAATCTGATTCTCGTTATCTGGAAAGAATGGAAGGGGTGTATTTCATTGCTTTTCCGAAGCCAAAAACACAGCTGGAGAAGTGTCTAACCTGGATTCGTGCATGCAGCCGTCACACAACTCAGTGTTAAGAATGTTACAAAAGACACTTATATATGTTCAAAGGTGAGTTAAAGCTCTTATTTATGCAGTGCAGACATTTACTTATTCAGTTTATTGCAAAAATAATTTATTTACAGTAAACGGTATACAAAACGTGAAGATGGTGCCAAATATTAATATGGCGACAGACTTAGTAAGTTTGTAATGCAGGACAGGGAATGTAACAGCCACGCATCGTAAAATTGTGTATTTTCCCTGGTTACTGGGGCTTTTTCTGGTTAAACCACTGGTGTTATGAAGATATGTTTGATGTTTATGCCTTTAAACTATAAACCTTTATAATAGAAACTATACATTTTTTCATTCATGACATGTAGCATTTCAAAAGTGCCAGTGGCCCAACATCAGATTATCCTGATCCTGTTCCCTTTGACAGCAGTGTCTTCAGAAAAGCAAGAAAAAGACTATAGCAGGAGGTTGAAAGGTAATATTATTATACTACACATCAAAACATCTGAGAACATGTAAATTAGGCATAATTTTCAATTACTCATTTCTTGG